AAAAAAGAGCACTTAACCCATTATTTAAATGTTTTTAAAAATGTTTTTTAAATATTTTTTTAATATTTTTAAAAATATTTTTTCAAACATTGTGTGCTGATTGGGCAGTTGCGTGACTTTGTAAATAGCAACAAATATGCTATGCTTCAAAGAGAAAACAATAATTATTCTGATATAACTTGTGGAAAGTTTTATACATCTCTAAAAAATGCTAGGGTAATTCAATTACATGATATTACGCTGCAGATCAGTACTGATGGCGTTCAAGTGTTTCGTTCATCGTCTGTATCTATGTGGCCTATACAGATGATGGTGAATGAATTGCCGTATAGAGAAAGAAGAAAAAATATGATGTTATGCGGTTTGTGGTATAGTAAAGAAAAACCTGATATGAATTTGTTTTTATCTGTACTCATCGAGGAATTGACCTCCTTGCATGAAGTAGGTATTACACGTAACGTGGCAGGCGAAGAAGAAATCCGTATCAGAGTACATACAATCGCGTCTCCTGTAGATTCTGTCGCGCGACCTTTGTTACAAAACATAAAACAGTATAACGGGAAATTTGGCTGCAGTTTTTGTTTGCATGAAGGTATACAGTCGGGTTGAAGTCGGTAGAGGAATGACAAGAGTATATCCCGGTTGTGTAAAGGAACCACGTACATTGCGCCAACATGAAGTAGATTGTGAAACTGCTGTGCAAACTGGAACTACACCTCACAGTGTGAAAGGGCCATCGGTTTTAATGCTGTTACCGGTCTTTGACATTACGTCTTCATTTACACCTGACTATATGCATGCCGTTTTATTAGAAGTATGTAAAACTTTTACGGATGCTTGGTTTAATTCGTCAAATCACGAAAAAGACTGGTACATTGGAAATAAAGTAGATGTTATTGACGAGAAACTCCTGCAAATAAAACCACCATGTGAGATTACTCGTACGCCCAGATCTATCAGTGAAAGAAATATATGGAAGGCATCAGAATGGAAGCATTTCTTGCTCTACTACTCCCTTTTTTGTTTACAAAATGTAATGCCCTTACAATATGTGAAACACTGGTTCCTTTTTATATTTAGTATGCACATATTTTTACAAGAAAAAATCAATGATGTAGATTTTTCGATCGCTGAATGTGCATTGAAAATATTTGTGCTTAAAATAGAAAACTTATATGGCTTAGAATATTACAAGTATAACGTACATTTATTGTTACATATCCCAGAGTTTGTTAAACAATTTGGGGCTTTATGGGCTATATCTACTTTTCCTTATGAACACTATAATGGAGTACTAAGACAAATGTTTCGAAATTCACAAGCTGTTCCGAAACAGATATGTAAATTGTATATGAGATCAAGACGCGTGGAAGATTCTTGTCTAAAGGTATTTTTTCAAAACTCGATTGTTTCGAAGATGCAAAAATTTTATATGATAAAATGAGTGGAGTGTATCATACGAAAAATTATCTGGAACACGAACCTTATTTAAAAATATTTGGAAAGCCGATTCAAAAGGCGTTAACGTTAATGGAGCAGACTTGTATAGAAGCTCTTTTACATGACAATATTCTAAATGAGAGTGACTGCTATAAGCGTTTCATTTTTCGAAACGTATTATGGCATGCCGACAACTACGAAAAACTTCAAAAGCGACAAAATAGTACAGCATTATTACAGAATGGTATGTTCATAGTAATATCCGGGATTTTTGGTGTCCGTATTGTGCCAAACAATTATCTACGATATGTTATTATTGGAAAGATTCTTAATTGCATTGATATGGAAATTTGTAAAACAAGCAATCCAACACTTTCATCGAATCGTCTTTTTCACATTACTCGCATGACTGATTCTGTCGTCGCTGTCTTTCCTGACATGTTACATACCAAATATGTACAGATTCCATACGATAATGTCGATAAATATTGTATTGTTTGCCTCGTAAATAATATTGAACGTGATTAATTAATATATCAGTATTGTGTAACTGCAGCAATTATTTAGTAAATAAAATGATCACTTTTACATTAACTTATTCTTTAGCCTGTTCTTTTTAACTTTAATATGATTTTGTGTTACGACGTTAAAATATATAATTCAGTATACACGTATATATGGCATTATACTAGAAATAAAATTTGTACTCTTTTTTGATAATACGAAACTATTTTATTTAATTACTGCATCCCTGATATCCTGCGACCTGATCGCTCTGCATACGGAAACTTGATAAATAATTCTTTCGTCGTGTCGCAAAAGAAGACACGTATGTACATAATTATAGTACGTGATATAGGCCGGAATAATTAACAGGAACGATTTTTAGAAAAACTCAGACAAATGTCATTAAATTTCTCAGAATGTTTCTAAGAATTTCTCATTTTTGATTTCTGAGGAATTTTGAAAAAATATGTAAAATTTCTTAGATATTTTCAAAAATAATTGAATGAGGATTCTCAGAACAATTCAACCCTGCAGCAAACACCAAGTTACATGTAACGTACTTGTTAGTTGTAATGTCCCACTCGACAATATAACTTTGATATGTTATATGTAAATTACTTGGTGTTTGCTGGGAGTATTTATGTATAAAACTTTCTGGATAATTTAATTGTTATTTGAGTTTTTCTGAAAAATGTTTCCGTCTAAATAAACTAAAAAAGTCTAAGAAATTAGTCAAACTTTTTATAGAAATTCTGAGAAATAATACAAAAAATTTTGAGAAATTGTTTCACCATAGAATAACAATACTATTCAGCAGTGATAAATAATAGTACGTACT